CAAAATGGCAGATGAAATTCACTGTTGATAAATGCAAAGTAGTGCACATTGGAAAACATAATCCCAACTATATGTATAAAATGGTGGGGTCTAAATTATCTGTTACTACTCAAGAAAGAGATATTGGAGTTATTGTTCTGCTAAAACATCCACTCAGTGTGCAGCGGCAGTCAAAAAAGATTGTTGTGGATCATTAAGAAAGGGATAGTTAATAAAACAAAATATCATATTGCCTCTGTATAAATCCATGGTACACCCACATCTTGAATACTGCGTGCCAGTGTGGTTACCCCGTCTCAAAAATGATACATTGGAGTTGGAAAAGATTCAGAAAAGGACAACAAAAATAATGAGGGGTATGGAACGGCTTCCATCTGAGGAGAGAGAAATAAGACTGGGACTTTTCAGCTTGGAAAAGAGACAACTACGGGGGGATATGATAGAGGTCTATAAAATCATGACTGGTGTGGAGAAAGTAAATTAGGAAGTGTCATTTTTTTCCTCTCACCACAAGAAGTAGGGGTTACCAAATGAAATTAATAGGCAGCTGATTTAAAACAAAAGGAAGTATTTCTTCATATAATACACAGTCAACCCGTGGAACTTTTTGCCGGAGGATGTTGTGAAGGCCAAGACTATAACAGGGTTCAAAAAAGAACTAGATAAATTCATGGAGGATAGCTCCATCAGTGGCTGTTAGCCAGGATGGGAGGGATGGTGTCCCTAGTATCTGCTTGCCAGAAGCTGGGAATGGGCGACAGAGGATCGGTCACTTGATGAGTACTTCTTTTGTTCGTTCCCTCTGAAGCACCTGGCATTGGCTACTGCTGGAAGACAGGATATTGGGCTAGATGGACCTTTGGTCTGACTCAGTATGGCAGTTCTTATGTTCACAGCGGCCCCAGGTGGCCAAAAGGTGTAACTGCAGCACATTTGGCAGAATGAATTTTCTGCTGGGGGAAAAAAAAATCTGAGTGGCACATGAGTTCTGCATGTGTGAAGCGATGCAGAATTCTCCCAGGAGTAAGACATGACTGCAACAACACTGCATGCTAATAATGAGTATAAGCAATAGTTACCCCTCTGGTGCTGAAAAAGGTTTACTTTTAATGTAAAAGCCATAAAACCACAATCAGGCTTTCAGAAGGGTGCTGAACTTTTGTGTCCCAACTACATTACAGACTTCCAACAATTAAAAGAACCATTTCAAACATCTAGAACACATGTAAAACACTTTTCACACTAGTGTTTGTAATGACAGGTTTCAGCGTAGCAGCTGTGTTAGTCTGTATCTGCAAAAAGAAAAGGTGTACTTGTGGCACCTTAGAGACTAACAAATTTATTTAATAAATTTATATTTAATAAATTTGTTAGTCTCTAAGGTGCCACAAGTACTCCTTTTCTTTTTTTTAGTGTTTGTAATGTTTCTCAATTGTGTATTGATATTACTGCATTAACTCTGAGCAAATCTTATAACTGGTTCAGTCTGAACTATTCCAGCGTTAGTGTGAATGGAAGTGTAGCAACACAAGTTCACTTGATACAATTCCAAAATGGCATGGGTAGATAAAGAGCACGTCTAATCTTCAGATTTGCAAAGTGCATTATGTGAAGCATTTTTTGTTGTTGTTCATTAAGGTGGTGATTCCAAATTCCTCTCATGTTTTGAGCCTACTGCAGCTTCTGTACCCATGTATGGCTTCTGTTTTATAAGGTACAGCATACAACAAAGACCTGTGTTTTGGGGAATGCTGACACCAAGTTTTATTAAATGCATGCTATTTTAGACTGAAAAATGCTTATTATAGGGATTACACTTTACATTTTGCTACAGCACTTCTCCATCTGTTAAGAGGATTTGTGGGGCCTGCATTCTGGGATGGGTACTTCAGGAGAACCACAATTCATTGGTACTATAATGGGAAACATCTCAGTCTTTTAATATAGACAGAGTCCCAGATCTCAAGCCAATTATTTTTGTCCTTGCTGAATAGAATAGTAAGATTTTGATGTGGACAGATTGACTCCTTGTAAACTGTGGAAGATTTGGTTGAACAGCTAAGTTACAGATCTTTCTGAGAAAATGGATCCATATTTGTTAGCCAAACCACATACACAGATTGCATGCTTGGCCCTAAGCAACTGTGTGCAGGTTTGGTAAACAAAATTCCATCTTTTAATTTCCAAAAGGGGATTGTTTAGAGACCAACGTTGCCATACTTCCAGTTTTCTAAGACCCCTAATGTGGCCTTTCCCCTTTGCATTATCCTGTTGGACAGAGGTTAGAAAGACTAAAGTCCGTAAGTGTAAGGTGCGTCTCCAAGGCAGGGAACAGGCATCTTGCTCAGCAGCAGAGCTGTGTTCTTTTTGTGCAGCAACCATGCAAAGTAAAGACTCCACTTCTCTAGAAGCTTATTTTAATAAAACTGTTATTAAATCTTAAAAAAACAGAAAACCCTTCCTGAGTCCCTCCTCTCTCAGTATTAGCAATCTGGCCTCCCCTCGCAGCTTTATGGTGCAGCCTCCCTCGGCTTTCTGTGCATGAGCGTTCAGGCCAGTCAGAGCTCTCTGCTGCTACGATTGTTTCCAGGCGTTTCCCTTTGGTGCCCCCGTAAATCCCTCCTTTTTGTGAAGACGTGCAAGACTGAGTATCGGCTGTGGCTGCCCTGGCCACGTGGGGCTCGAGGGGTGGGCTTAGGAAGTAAGCTGCGCTGGCAGATTCCAAAGCCTGCTCAGTGCTCACAGCTGATAAATTTGCAGGGGCTATATAAGGCCTTGAGAACCTGGGCTCGTCGTACGGGAGGGCAGACGAACAGTAAACAGGTAGGACAAGCAGGCTTGGCTTTCAGGCTGCAGGGATGTGACATAAAGTCAGCGGTATGGGTGTATGCTTTAAATATTTGTATAAAATATTTACCACAGGGATTTGTGATTGCATGGATTTCTGTTAGTATGTTGCGTTTGTTAGATTCAGAATAGAATGATAATGAGAAAGTTAAACAGCTCTGGGAACACTCACTTAGACACAAGCAAAGTCTTTGGTTTTCAGACTTTTTTTTTTAAGCAGAAAATTTAATTGCATTATTTTGTATGAAGAATTCATGTGTTGCTGCCTCTGCACTAGAAACCGTTCTGTGCATTCTTGAGCAGATATGTGTTTGGAACAAGACTGCAATTTTGTTTAAAAGAGGTTTTGGGTGAGCCCTAGAAAGCTGTATGAATCAGTGGATGCTGAAAGAGAAAACACTAAAAGCTTGTTAATAACCATAGTCACTGCTGAACTATTTCCATCATTGGATAGAAATGCAGGATGAAGAAAGTGTAGTTTTAGCTAATGTAGGGGGCTTTCATTTTACAAGTTGTAAGATGTACAGACTCTTTTCCCTGAATATTTTTGGTTTCATATCAACAGTCTTCTATACATATATTTAAAGACATTGCAATTAGAATTTTTAATCTAGACAGTTTTGAAATATAAAATGTGTAAAACAACTCAGTGGCTTTGTAGCTGTGATACACAATTGAGACAATGGCAGAAATATTCTGTATAACATAATAAAGTGGCCTTGGTTTGCTGTTGCTTAAGCTAGGGAATTTTTGGCTAGGAACATTTATAAAGTGTGCCATTGGATCTTCAACAGCTACTTGGATCAGAAAAAGTTTAAGCTACAGTGAACTAAGGCCACTTTACTTCTGAATGAGAGCATGGGGGTAGGGAGCGATAATGTGCTTTAATTTATGTGCGTTACCTTCACACCTTTAGTAACTTTGGTTTAACTTCCCTGAGTGTCCCTCAAATACCAGCATAATCAATTCAGCCCTTCATTCTTTAGAATTAACTGCAGTTATTGTATGAGAATGTTAAAAACTGAGGCTTTTACTGCTACAAGAAGGTGTTAAAGGTCCAGTGGCACTCATTGTGAATGTCCTTGGCCAGAAATTCCCTAAAACTCCAAGTTTTTATAAACTAGTTGCATCTTCACAGTTTGTAATATACCCATAATAATGTTCTGATGGGTGGTAGCTCTGTAGAGTAGAGATGAATTGAGTGACATTGAAGCAAAATCTGTAGCATAGGCAGGCCTCCTGGTAAAATTCAGCTCTGCCACTTGTCATGATGGCGAATTATGGCTATGAAGTGGCTGCCTCACTCCAGAGGCGGTTTCATTTCATTGGTACTGTGTGTGTAGTTAAAATATTTTGAAAGATTCTATATATGGTGCTTGGAAAATGTTCTGGACATAGAGTACTAAATCAGTTAGTGTATGAAAGTTAGATGGTGTTGATGGGAGACAGCGAGGTCCAGTTACAACCCTTTCAGTGCTTTGGCTGTTTTTTCCTAAAAGGTAGCAAAATTGACAGTGAATGCCAACCATGAAACTGGCAAGTCTATTGTCAATTTTACTCTTTTAAAATATGTAAGTTGCAAAGTGTTGTAACTTGTAATGGTTTTGCATTCCATAGATGTACAAAACCAGTGTAATTTTCACCAAGTCTCTTCAAGCTCACTGTTATTTATACAAACTATAACACTGCAAAATTAACTTTAAAAAAAATCATACTATCTTCTGAAAAAATTGTGACTACTATTTCCATAATTGGTAGGTAAGCTTACTGTAACTGGTTAGTAAGTGCATTTAACAGCACTTAATATATAACCAGTGTCATTGTTTTGTTGGTCAGTTACAGTTACGCTTCCATCTTATGCAGTAGCACCATTGCTCTTATGTAGTGCTTGGGAGTTGGGTCCACATGCACAATCTTTTCCAGGTTCTTCAAGAGGGAGTTTACCCTAGCAACAGGCAGGATCATTCAAGAAAGGAAAGGGAAGAGAATTAACCATGTTAGCTTGTTCTTGGCTCACCCAAAAGGTGCTGCTTAATATTAGCAGGGGAGCAGAAAGCTCTTCAAAAAGAAACTTAAAAAGAGAAGTCAGGACACATTTAGAGGCGGTTGCATCAGAATTTTTTTTTTAATTAGTTGATTAAAAAAATTAAGTTTTAGCAGTGTCCTCTGAACTTTAAAATTAAAAGGAAATGATGCACTTAGGCTTCTCTTGGACTCAATCACTGTAGCAAGAAGAAAGATTACAAAAGTTTTACAAGTTGAACATCTAAATTAATTGCATTAATATTAGAATTAAACATATAATATTCAAGCAAAAATAGAGACAAGGTAGGTTGGCCCTCTACATCCTGAATAATTTGGTGGAGACCTATGTACATTTAAAAAAAAGAATTAAAGTACTCTTCTAGTTCTAGCCTGAATATGATCATATATTTCTCAAGAGGAGGAGGTATTGGATGAAATTACTTCACAACTCGTGGTGTGATCTTTGATTTTACATATGAAATGTTGCTTCTATCCTTTTTCATAGGAAGAAAACCAAACACACCATACAACCCACCCTGCAGAATGTTTATATTTGTGTTGTTTTTTGTTCTGTTTGTTCGTTCTTTCTTTCTTGGTGGTGACCTGCATTTTCATGTGACATTATTACTAAAGACCAGGGTCTGTTTGATTTAAATCACTAAAAGGCTCTGTTTACTCATGGATTTCGCTATAAAAGTGCATTCTTGTTGGTTGTTATAACCTTAATACATATTCTTCACAACTCAGAGAGAGATGTAGGTTTCATTTTTAGAAGGTACACACTACACACTTTTAAAGTGATTGTTTTATTTTGAAAACTTTTCAGATTAGTTTTACAGCTATATCAGAAAATGAATGATGGTTTGGTTATTTCATTTACCAAATATAAATGAAGCAGATAGTTCACCTCCCAATGACTTCATAAATATCTCCAATTCAACAGGTTAATCATTAATATTTGGAGGATTTTCTTGCCATGCTGTATTAGGAGGAGAAAATCACCCGTCAGACATTTAAATTGTTTTATTTAACTAAAACAACAACATTATGTATTCTGGATTTTTTCTTCAACAGCAAACGTATAATAATTTAGAAAACAAGTATATGAATTTTTGAATTTAGTTAAACATTCAAGTTTTTTAAAATCAGGCTTGTTTTTGTTAAAATTGTTTTTAACTAAAATAGTTAAATGAACTTTTTTTTTTAAAAAAAAATCAAAAATTAAATCGACTGTGTCAGCCAGGTCAACATGAGAAACTTAAAATATTGGCTTCTGCAGCTAACTCAGTCTTCTCCACCTTCATTTTCCTGTTTGTTTATAATCTGGAAAAGAAAAACAAGCTTTCCTGCTTTTTCGGGTCCCAAACAATTTCTAAATTTGGAATGAATTAGTCCAAAGGAAGCAAATATTCTTTCTACACCAGCAGAATAAGCTTAAAAGTGAGATTATCACTTCAACAGTCTCTGAATCCAAGTACTTAAGTGACTCCCACCAGTTCACTGGTGTGACTTTCTTTAAAATATCCTCAGCAAACATATATTTCTTGAATGGTTCACCCTTTGCTCTGAAGTTTATTATAGTTGCCATTATGGAGGGATGATTGCTGGATGTCCATGTCATAACCAGGTCCTCTTCTTCAGCAGTTAAGGTTTGACCCTGGTATCCAGTATTAAGAATATTTGCAAGAAAATAAGTTGGAGATACTGCTTATCCTATTCTTTTTTTTTTATGCTTGTAATTTAACTCTGTCATTGCATATTTCTCTTTTTAAGATCTCACTCAGTTCCTTCCATATTTCAACACCATCAGCAATAAAACAGTTATTTCCTTGCATTTTGTTCAAGGTACAGAAATAGGCTTCAGGGTACTCTGCATGTGTTCAACATTTCTTTTAAGCCCAATGTTGAGAACTTCGGCTGTGACAGTGCCATCTATTTATTTTTCACGATTTTGTTCTCAAACTGTCATCAGAATAGGCCAGTTCTTGATATGGAAATAGACCACTACTGAGTTCCATTGCACATCTTGTGGAAGAGTTAGCTTGGTTCCTTCCACTTTTTTCAGAGCAGCCGCTGCAAAGTGGTTGTTACGGAAGTATATTGCAATTTCAACAACATTAGCCCTTTTATTTCTGCAACACTGAAGTCTTTGGCATCAAATAAGCACTGCAACTGTATGTTATTAGCTTGGGACTCTTCACTCTCTTCTAAATAATTTCTTCTCATTTTGGATATATTTGCAGCATTGTCTGTGACCAAGCTGCATACTAGACATTTGAATTTTTTTCCAGTTTGTTATAGCTTTTACTGCTGCTACTTGTAAGTATTCTGGTGTGTATGCATTTCCTCTTTTATCAATTGTTTCTGTAAGGAAGACATTCCCTTCTTCTGTTGTCACACAAGCACATACAACAGAATCATTGTGGACGTTGCTCCACCCATCAAGACTAAGGTTAACAATTTTACTCACCTATACCTTCTGCACACTGGTCAATTTCTTTTTCATACACTTTATCCAGCAATTTATCTGCGACATCTGCTCTGTTGGGTGGACTGTATCCTGGTCTTAATGGCTGAACCATATTAACGAAGTGTGGGTTCTCAGTCATAAGGAAAGAAGAGTTTGTTGCATAAACAAACTGGGAAATTTTTTCATCAATTACCTCTTTTTGTAAATCTGCTGGTTTTATCACAGATTTATCTATAGTTGTTTCTGGATGATGGAGATTTATTTTTGTTTTTGCTACAGGTGATATATATGTGACATACATGATGTGGCTGAAACACTATCATTAGCAGATAACTCTGAAACTATAGAAAATGATGGTGATCTTGAAGGTGGATAGTCTTCAGAATCCTGTATGTTGAGGATGGATTCTCCTAAACAAAAGAAGTCAATGCAGTTATTTAATTATTATCATACTGTTCATTTAGCATTACTCATTGCATTCACTGACACTCAGTACTACTTTAAAGGTGAAATTGTAAAAGGAAGATCTGCCTATTTCAGCTATTTATTTTTTTTGTCACAACTGCATCTAAAATGATAGTATCATAGAGTAACAACTATATTTTTTGCTCAAACATGAGAATTCCAGAGGAATAGTCCAGAAGGAAGACAGGCAGTCCTTAAGAAAGAAGTATGAAATAAGAAAGTTTACAAAACTGAAAATCCTGCATGTTCAGACATGTTCCTTTCATCATATTCAATGCAGCTTCCTCTTGAGAAGGAACACTTCTCATGATGTTGTTTCATTCAACCAGGCCTTGCATTACTTTGTTGCACTGTTTGCATTTTGCACACATGCCTGTCTTACCCACAGGTAGAGAAACTTCATTAAAATATTCCTAAACTGAGTCTCTTTTGCAGCCTGCTGCCATTATAGATTTTTCCTTCTAGTGAGAGAATGGTATGGTAGATCTCAAATCAATGAAGGCTACACTTGGAAAGACCTCAAGACTTCTGGAATATGCTGCTTAAACAGTTTCACTTTTGTTTATACTGTCTGTACCTCCCTTCTCACATTTATCTTCAGACTTCTTCTCCCTTGTCCAGATCTGTTCCGCCCCAACAATGTTCTATTCACTGAACTTTTTGAAACTTTGCACTTTTAGGGAGAGGTAAGGGATTGACTCTGTGTACGCAAATTTGCAGAGGGACAATAGGGTTGAGGTCTTATTTCTCACCTCTATATATTTATTTATTTAACAACATAAATAACATCTTGCTGTTAACAAGAATTTTCTCTGGAGACACAAATCGACAGTTTGAGAAGTGCAAAACTGAGTATCTCTGATGGTATCTTCTAGACTGAGCACTGAGTCCCATTGGGTAGATAGAAAAATTAACCTAAATAATCTATACAGAAGCCCCTGGAATCCCATAAGATTGGGTCCGTAATCCATGAACTATTGGAACTCATTTACAACATTTTTCTTAAACATTACATGAATATATTCTCATACTATAGAATTAGAATTTATAATCCCTATTCCAGGATGAGATATCTTTGAGCTATAATAGAAAAGGAGTGTACTTGTGGCACCTTAGAGACTAACCAATTTATTTGAGCATGAGCTTTCGTGAGCTACAGCTCACTTCATCGGATGCATCCGATGAAGTGAGCTGTAGCTCACGAAAGCTCATGCTCAAATAAATCGGTTAGTCTCTAAGGTGCCACAAGTACTCCTTTTCTTTTTGCGAATACAGACTAACACGGCTGTTACTCTGAAATTTGAGCTATAATGTATCTTAATTAAATATTGGGCTTTTCCTCAAAAATCCGATTTTTTTTTTATTTTTATTTTTTTAAAAATCATTGTTTTTTATCCACCCTGCATATATGTAAGACTCTTTGTGTTTTGGGGGATAGGAAGAGGAAACTAGTCTTAACTTTTAAAAAAATGTGTATTGGAAGCAGTGTAATTCAGTCTTTCAACCAAACAAAATTCTCACTCTGATAACTGTTGTGAATGGGAAAAAAATAAATCATACCTTTCAGAGTAGTTCTGTGCCTCATTTAGGGTTGTCCTGACTAGCAAAAAGATAGGATGTAGTTGGGCTTAGCTAAATTTTCCTACCTAAACTCAGCCTAGACTTGACCACTTTTCGTAATCAAGAGAAGGCCAGAGATACTGCACATTTCTGATAGTCATTTGAAGTGAATCTCAAGTTTTATAGCAAATCTCTGAAGAATCTATTAGCTCTTGTTCTAAATTTGGCCTCTCAAGAGTACAGTGTTTTCTAAAAATTCCCTAATGCTGCAAACATAGGTTCGGCTCCACCAGTGACAGAAAGTTTCCTCCTCCTATCCCCAAAACCACAAAAGGTCTTACATAAAGTGTGTCACCCAGAACTGGACACATTACTCCAGCTGAAGCTTCACCTGTGCCAAGTAGAGTGCACTGTTACCTTCTGTGTCTTATATACAAGACTGCATTTCAGAGTTACATTAGCTTTTTTTTTTTTGCAACAGCATCATGTTGGCTCATATTTAAGGCTACGATTTGATCATGGAGGTCGCGGAAGTCACAGAATCTGTGACTTCTGCAGATATCCGTGACTTCAGCCTGTAGCCGCTGGGAGCTGTAGGGTACCCCCACCTCCTGTGGTGTCCGGAAGCTGCGGGGTACCCCTGCCACCACCAGCGGCCGGCGGGGAAATCCCCGTCAGCTCACCCGTCCCCATGGGCAGGAGTCCCCTGTCCACTTCGTAGCCACTGCAAGTGGCAGCAGATCTCTGCAGTTCCCCAGCCGCCACAGATGCAGGGGACCTATGCAACTTGCAGCAGCTAGGGGATCCCCTGCAGCTCCCCAGCCGGCACAGATGGGGTTCCTTCCCAGCCATGAGGCAGGGACTGCAGCCACAGCAGGGCAGGGTGCTGGACCCTCCTCCCTCCCACTTCTTGTCATGGACCGTTTCAGGGACAGGTCACGGTTTCCATGAATTTTTGTTAATGGCCCGTGACCTGTCCCTGACTTTTACTAAAAATGTCCATGACAAAATCGTAGCCTTACTCCTATTTAATTTGTGATCCTTTATAACCCCCAGGTCTTTTTCTTTTCTGCCTAGTCAGTTTTTGCCTAGCCCCATTTTGTATCTGCATTTAATATTTCCTTCCTAAAGTATAGTACTTGCATTTATTGAATTTCGTCTTGTTCATTTCCGACTAATTCTCCAATTTGTCAGAGTCCTTTCAAATTCTGGTCTTCCAAAGTGCTTGTGAACCCTCTCACTTCGGTGTCATCTGTAAATTTTAAAAGCATACTCTCCACTCCAATATCTAAATTGTTAATGAAAGTATTGAATAGTATCGGACCGAGGATAGACCCCTGCAGGTCCCCAATAGATAAGTCCTCCCAGTTTTACAGTGTACCATTGATGATTATTTCTTGACTATGGTCTTTCAATTAGTTATGCACCTATCTTATAGTAATTTCATGTAGACCACATTTATCTAGCTCGCTTATGAAAATGTCATGTGTGACTGTCAAAATCCTTACTACAGTCAAGCTTTATCAAGTCTACAGTTTTGCCCCTACCTTCTAGGCCAGTAACCCTGTCAAAGAAGGAAATTAGGTTGGTTTGGCACGATTTGTTCTTGACAAATCCATGCTGGCTATTCTTTATAACACTATTATCCTCTGGGTGTTTACAAATTAATTATTTAATAATTTGAGTATCTTTCTAGGTATCAGAGTTAGGCTGAGCTCCCGGGTCCTCTTTGTTCCCCTTTTTAAAGATAGGTAGTATATTTTCCCTTCTCCAGTCTTCTGTGACCTCTCCCATCCTCCATGTCTTCCTTAGCTAGAAAAAAGTTTAAAAGCATTGGAAAACAGAAATCTAATGGGGAAGTTTTAAGCATGTAGATATTTAGCAGAACAGTATATCTTCTTTTTATATTGTTAGTGTGGATAAATTACTGTGCTGAAAAATTACCCTGAAGAATCTCAAGATCTCAATGTGACCTCCTCGTTAATATTTTTCCAGATAATTTGTTTTCTGTAGCACATCATATATTGCAAATTACTATGTACCAAAAGTAAACTGAGAGGACAACCAAGGCAAAGATTGGTATATTCAGACATGCTGTCCACAGAGGTGTACAACTTACTGGACATTACTTTCTTATAGCAGTTTTTTTAGTATTCGGTATCTTGACCTCTAGAAAAGTTACATTTCAAATGTGTTTTCAATAACAAATTAATATTACTCAGGTACAGATGCAGATGACTGTTCAGAATATGCCCTCCTCATTCTTATCCTTTCTTATCCTAAATACTTAAGTTTCACTGTTGTTAAAACAAAATTTCCTTGTGGTTTAGGAACATTATCAAGAATGAGCCCACCGCAGGATAGGAGTGGAAACTCCTGCAGTAAGGAGCCCCTTGTAAAGTGCCTTCAAGCTCAGAAAGACTTGGAGACAGCTATTGCTGGAATTCTCAAGGCTGAACAACAAATTAAAGTGAACTGGAGAGAGGTATTTAAAATGTACTTTTTAAAAGTCTAACATTTTACCAGTTTTGGTTGGTAGTTCTACAAGATACTTGGTGTTCTGAGACAATAAACTGAAATCTGTCCTAGAAGCACCATTATTAAGGCTATGATTTAGTCATGGGTATTTTTAGTAAAAGTAATGGACCAGTCACAGGCCATGAACAAAAGTTCATGGCCTGTGACCTGTCCATGCTATAAATACCCCTGACTAAATCTGGGGGGTGGGAGGAAGCCTTGGGAGGCGGGCTAGCAGCACCTATGCCAGTCACACGGGCCCCTGCTCAGGTGGTCCCTGGGGCCAGCCGCACAGGGCTTGCTGCAGGGCCACCTAAGTGGCTGGCTGCAGAGCTGCTTCAGCAGAGGCTGGTGTGGCTGGCCCCGGGGCTACCTGAGCAGCTGACCCTTGAGCCAGCTGCTTGGGCAGCCCAGGGTCAGCCACACTGGCTGCTGCAGAAGTGCTGGAGCTTGCGGAAAGTCAGGTTGCGGGAAGTCACGGAATCCATGACTTCCTCAATCTTCATGACACATGCAGAGCCCTAACCATTATCTCACTATAATCCTTAGAAGACATAAGCATTTGAGTATTGCTAACCTCACCAGGCAAAATAAAAAGTGCAGTTCGTCAACATTTTTTGTGTTAATCGTTTATTTGTAATGGGATTTTTTTTAGTGATTCACTATTTATGCTACTGGAAATAACTTCTTTTTAAACAGAATGATATAAAGGTGCTACAAATAATATGTAGTAGTATGGCTGTTTTAATAAACTGATAATCCTTTGTGTTTGGGTACTCCTTCAATGGAAATGGTCTTGAACTTTGAAGTGGGGTAACTGGTAAGTATGTTGGGTAAAAGCCCAAGCCTTTGCCCAAGCCTTTGATGA